TTAGAATTCGCGATACCTTTGGAAAGTTCGTAGGCAGCGAAGTTGAAATTAGAAACCCATACACGTGGGTTTCTTTTTTCAACTCCACTGCAAATAAGGCCCTCCTTGTTCCGAGCAGCAAAGAATCGGTTGGGGTTTCAGGCGTGAAACCAGACAAGAGCAGCGAGAGAGCATGTAAAAGAGCAAGAGCAGACAAACGAGTTTGTAATGCGGGCAGAGTCACTGGTGTAACGTTGCGCCTTGTCGCCCCTACAACCTTCTTAAGCTAAACTCACACAAGGTCTTCTGCTGCGGCGAGATATCACTCTCTAGGAAGAACTCCTATTCCTATAAGTGATCGCGGAACGGGTCTTCAACTGGTAAGCATACTAATTAAACTGACTATGTGGGGTGCAAACAATGTACTGCAACACTGCGCTCACCAGCATTTTCGGGAATCTCATTGGTCATTTCAACGTCGAGTAAGACACCAGTTTCATTTGCCCAACATCTAGCTACATTCCTCAAAGTGTACCCTCCACCACCCAAGACGAGCATCGGGATTCCAAGGCTTTTCACATATCGTACACACTCAGCGTGTCCATCAAACCTACAAGCATCTTTCAGCTGAAGAGTTCTATTAAACGGCTCAATATCACAACTAGGACTATTGTATAACTCACGAAAGATTAAAGCAACCAAGTCGATCGCAACCAAGCGAATCTGCACCACACTGTAGCACAACAGCTTCAGGAGCAAAATTCTCGACAACTTGCCCAATAATTGGCCGAAATACGGATAAGTAATCTGAAAAGGGGATAAGTATAGTAGCAAGCACACTGACATTTACAGAATGTTATCTACCTTCGTCTTCGATTCCTTGCTGTAGGGGTACATTAACAGCGAAATATCGACCGGTCCCTTGTCCGAGATCATATATGCTACCTGTTCCCGGGAAGAACAAACTCCCATACTTATGGAATGAGACTGTCATTACCTGAACAGAAGATAGTAATTGTAATTGTCATGTGAATGATTATTAATTAGTCAAAAATTACTAAATTTGTTATCAAAATAAGGCTGAATTATGGACTAAAGTCAGACCCCTGACGGGACTCGAACCCTCGTCTCCCGCTTACTGGGCGGTTTCGTTATACAACACGCTACCGGGCCGCTCCTACCATCTCACCTCGATGGTTGTTTGTGCGGGTTAGCCGATATCGGCAACTTTTAACCTCCAGCGCCCTCCCCCCCCCCTTCCAGAAAAAAGAAAAAAGAACTGTAGTCGAGATGGAAGTTTTTTTTCAAAACGGAAGGGAAGAAGCCGAAAAAAAAACAAATGCACAAGTAAACAAAAAAAACGGTACTATGCACAAGACCAAAAAGACCTTACAAGGAAAGGATGGTTGGTCGAAGTGGCCATTCGAAATGAGACGTATACTGCCCGATGGGCCCTTGGACGCTGATTACAAATCTGCCCTCCATATCTGCTAAACGATTTCCTGGACAAAGTTATGCAGGATTTTTGACCAGGTCACACCCATTTCCAGCATGTATATGAGGTGCTCCAAATTGCCCAAATTGGCTGGAATCTGAAATTAGAGGTGCTTTGTGCCCTAGGAATCAATACTGCAGTTATATTTCGTGAAAACGTCTTGTACGCATTCTGGAGGGGCAGGGTGTGCAGGA